GGAATTCCACTGCGCCACCTCTAGCAACCCCCAGTGCTCTGATTTCCCTTCGCCCGACCATACCTACTACTTCATTCACCCGGGGTTTGCCGTCATCACCACCAGTTTCCCTCCGTTTCGCCTTCTTCTTCCGTACCATCAACTCAGCGTCGTCCCGTGGCCGGCCATAGTCCCCTATTGGCCCAACACACCCTGCGAGAACTGCCGACGGCGCGGCGATCGAAGAACCCCGGAATTCCGAAGGCCTAACCCACACGTGCGACGACCAGCACCACGTGGCAACTCTCGACAGACAGACTTATCGGAACCCCACCTACCTCGAAGGGACCGACCCATGAACGGACGTCCCCGAAACCAATGGCTCGCTCGGTCTTGAGCGAACCGCGCCTGCCATCCGCCTTGTAACCCGAAAACGCCCTCTTCGCCAAATTGCACCCGTGCCCCCGAAAGACCCTGTCACAGGAGATCTCAGTTCTGACCTGGGACTCCACTTTCCAAAAAATCCTTGGCACACCCCTTTTCGCACTTCCAGGCCCACATCCTACTACGATCAGGAAGTCGCGCTGGGCGTGAGGTTTGGCGTCACAGCCACATCCGTGCTCAAGCCTTGAAGGAGGGAACATGAGGGAGCTGCACCCACCAGCAGGTGTGATACCTGCTAGGCTGCTACAGCAGGCCTGCGTGCCTTACCAACTGAGCTTGCCCGCTGGACCCCACAGGCGTGCCGAAAGGCGTGGGTTTTGGCGCAGATATTTATTCAGAGTCTTTTGCAGACCCCACTCTGGCAGCCGATTGGATGTGGCCTGGAGAACCTTGAGCGCATTTCCACTCGGTGCAATGATGGCGAAATGATGGCAAAATCCTCCGTGTGGGAGCAGCATGATACCTCACAAGGTGTGCTGCTTCTGCTTCTTGTTCAAAGATGACACAAACATTGGAATGGGGGATGCATTGTTTTTCATCTTTCAGTAGAGATGAGGAAATCTTTTTTGGATCGCTCTAAACACTACCTATTCGGCCTCGAAAGGTATAGTTGAGGGTAGATTTGTTCATGTGTTATCTGGCGCCCGGAGATGGGTGAAGAGGCCTGAGAGCTGTGCTGTTATTTAACTGTTATGTCAATTGGTTATTTATGGGAGGCTGGGCCCGGTTCCCAGCATCTGCAGCTTTCCACAAATAGAGTGGAGCGATGGTATGGTAACTAGTAACTACTAGTGGTGGGTGTTCTGATGGCCACGGCTACCGTCTACCCCCGAACACAACGCACCCTTATTATGAATATATACAAGCTAGCTTTCCGGTCCCATACAGCCAAAATTAGGGTGCGTTGTGTTCGGAGGAAGACTGTAGTAGTGCTGAAAAAACATGGTAGGTCCCACTGGGAGACTGGGTCTCCGTCACAAATGGAGGCAGCAGGGCTCGACGTCAAGCCGCAGCCCCTCGTGAACCAAGAAAGTGACCAAACACTAAACTACCGAGTAGAGGTAAGACTACAATAAGGGCATACTCACACTAGCACGCATTTTCATATAACTGTAAATTATAGTTGATTTCTTGGGTCACACGGGCTACGTATTTTGCGTTTTCATGCAAATGGGCACGTAAATGTCAGCGGCTTGGACATCCGGGGGGTTACATATTTTGCGGGAACCTCTGGAGGTCCCTGCAATTGCCTGTTTCTCCTAGACCTGTTTCTTTTTGGAAACAAAAAGAAATAATTGGACGGTTGGGGGGCAGCTCTGGTAAGAGGGGAGGTGGGGGGAACGAGGAAAAAGGATGGATTTTTATGCATCGTGCTGTGTGACCCCTCGGCCGGTATAATCGCATTGCTAGAGCAGCTGCAGACTGTCCCCTTTTTGTTTTGTGATGTCCCCTTTCTGTTTTGTGACGTATACGGGTGTGCTGCGTGACTGGGAAGTGCCTCACAAATTGGCTCACATAAATTGCTATTGTAGGTGCTAGTGTGAGTACGCCCTAAGTAAATACATATTTCAAATCTTTTTTTTTGATCGACTATAGTTGACTCACTAGTACCTTTGCCCCTTGGAAAATAGCGGGCCTCAGGTAGGCATCCGACCTTTTCGGAGGCCGGAACGAAATGACGGCCGCCGATCAGATTTGTCAATGGCAGTCTTCGTTGGGCCCGGCCTCCAAAGATTCAGGAGTTTGGGAAAACAGCCAGTTTTCCCTATTTTCCCACGCGGGAAAGGTACTAGTGACAAAAAAAAAAAAAAAAAAAAAAACCGTCAAGCAGACAGTGAAAGGTCCCG